TTCTTTCAATATTATATTGGTCTTTAAGGCATCGCCAACCATGACACAAAATTTTATTTTAAAATTACATCAAATTTGATGTTTTGCTGTGATTTTTTTTTTTGTCATCTCCAACCATGATACCAAACACTACACTAAAAATAATATTATATAATATTTGATATTTTTAATTTTAGTATTTTTATAATTTTATTATTTGTAATTTATAAATAAATTTTTATCTCACTTAGATATTATAATTGTTAAATTTTGTAATTTAATTTAATAATATATATATATATATATTCTGTTTAATAATATTATACTTTTCTGCATTTATTTTATATATAATATATTAAAAATTACAAACTATTAATTCTGAAAAGCACATAAAATAATAATATATTTATTTAATGAATATTTATTAGCTAAATACAAGTTTATTTATATTATTAAATAAAAACTAAACAAAATATCATAGTTTTTGATTAATTTGATAGTATTACATAAAATTTAATTATTTGCTATTAAATCTTACTTTACAGTATAATATTATGAATTATTAATTACTGATTAATTATAAATTAAAGAAATATTTATATTTGATATTTTAAAATAAAAATATATTACAATAAGATAAATGATAACAATCATTTAGTCATTTTTACTTGAAAATAAAATAAAATATTATAATTATGTAAAAATAATTAAGAATACAAATAATATAGTATAATTATATATAGTTACAAATTTGAGCTAATTAATAATAATAATTAAACTATATTATTGCAAGAAACATAATAAAATATGTATGTTAAATATTTAGTGTGATGAATAGTATTACACTAAATTTGGTGTAACGCTATTCACTCTACACCAAATTTAATGGAATAGTGTAATTTTTTATGTTCTATTCAAGATGAGACTATACCAGATTTAGTGTTTTGGTGTCATATTTAAGTTGCCATAGTCTGAGGTACTCCTTTTATTAAAAAGTGATATTATGTTTGTAAACATTACAAATATGTTTATTGATTAATAATGAGACTCATAATGTTGTTTTAATTATAGTAGACCGCTTTAAATGGCTACCATGACCCTCAAAATCAGTTTGAGCTTAAACCCAACATTCTTAGCTACAAGAACAATCAATCTCAAGAAAATTGCCCGCAGGATGTGAGATCACAAACCTATGTCATTTCTTTATATGCTTGCATGAAGAATAAGGTTAAATACGTATTATACATTTAATATCCCCGTAGGGACAAAGAATTATGTCATCTATGTGACTCATTATGGTCTTATAGGTCACGCGAGAAATGAATGAATATTATAAATTTCTTGATTTTGTAGAAAAGTATTGCAATTAATAAGTCTTTGTGTGTATTATAATTAAGCGGTAGAAGCGCGTGAATTAGACGTGAGAAAAGTGAATTTTAAAGGAGATGCTTTTTGCTAGTTATGATTGGCATTGACTCTGTTGTCCAAATGCCTTTGTAAACTTCAGCTTTTTCCTGTCTTATTTGTATGATTCCATTTTCAACCCCTTTATATTGTTTAATCCCAAACTGCCCCAACCTTTTGTTTTCTATTTTATGAACCCCAAATCTCCAAAATGACAATTGATTAAATAATGGTCTTGCAAAGAAACTGGTTTTCTACGGCACGATGGGATTAAAAACCGGAATCCAATATACTGCCCTAAAATCAAGTACTATCTTTTTTTGACAATAAATGAAGTACTATTTCATGTGCGTTATTCATTTCTGTAAGACGTTTTGCAATAAAAAATATTTCTATATTAACTGCACTTTATAAATCATAAATGCATCTTAGTTTAAGATTCATTAAAGCATGTTTGTCTCTCTCTCCTGGCAAATCTTGATCTAGTCTCTTCACAACTTTGCTCTCCACATGCTTCAAATCACTAATCTCACATTTTGTTTTGTTATAAATTTAATAAATTATTATAAATAGCCGTTTAACTGTTTAATTTATCTTGAAGTCCATTTGATTTTAGAAAGAAATAGTTTAGTGATGAACTTGAATTTTACCGTAATGTGTGTCCCCGACACCGTGCAAATCAGAAGTTGTAACACTATTACCGAGCTCAAACTTTTTTTTGGTACAATCGAGCTCAAAATTGCATAGATAACCTCATTAATACTATTATAACAATCAAAATTTAAATTGGTCAATCTGACGAACACTTCTAAATTCACTAGCGTCCAATTTGTTATAATATATAATCGACAAGCTTTTGGCCTTTTTCTTCAATCTCAATGTAAGAAAAGTTTTGGATCTTTTCTCTGATATAGTGTCTCTTAAGTTATTACTTACTAGTTACTACAATTAAAAACTTACTCAACATGTGAAGACCAGAGTGTATCTTTGTCCCATTTAAAAGTTTAACATTTTGTGAGGAAACATTTAAACTCTCGAATAAAAATAACTTTCTACTCTATTATAAGGTGGCCAACTAAATGCATTTACAAATATAATAGCCCTATTATAAGAAAATAGTATATTCCGCTTGGTTTCACTTGCAACCATGTGTTTGAGAACTATGGATTGTATCTGTATCATTTTCAAGAGCAGGTAATACAGATAAAAAGCTTATCTATTAATTATATTAACAAATAACACAACACTAATAATAAATTTTAGGTACTCTTACTTTTTATCATAGATACGACACTTTATGTTTTTTTAAGTAAATGTTTTTCCTGGGATTCTTTGACAAACGATAGTCTTCATGGTGCTGGAAGACAATTCGGGTATCCGACTATTTGACGTTAATTAAATAGTATCTAAAATATAGTAAAGTGAAAAGAAGAAAAGAAAAGTAACTTAACCCCATTGCGAATGTTTCCCTTTACAGCAAGCATCCTATGTATCTTTCCCTTTCTGTCTCGGAGAAACAAAATTTTGGAGGGAAAATTGTCTATATATATAGTCAATGTTGTATATATCCTGTGTGGATATATATATGTGAGAATAGTTTTAATTCTTATTTTATTTTTGAGAAACAAAGTTTTTATTATTATTTAGTAAGAACAATAAGATAAACAGTTTTGTATCGTAGTTAAAAACACTAACGTTTTTAAATATATTAGGTTATTTCAAGTTTATATGATTATCCAACGGTAGATTGGGTTTTAGCTCACAAACATAGTTAGCAAAACTAACTCTCATATGGATTCAATTGTTTAGTTCGTGGATGACTCTCGGAAACTAAAGCACAATAGTTGACGACAAAATATATTTAGTGGTTACTAGTAATTGGTAAATAGTGAGCAAAGATTGTCAACCAAGTGTATGGGCTTGGACTAATATATTGTTATTGTGTATATAATTAAACTGAGACCAAAAAACATTAAAAACGTCAAATCAAATAATTTAGCAAATGCTGTTTGGATAGTTTGACAAAAATGCAAACGTACCATAAGGTCAAGTAGTTTTCATTGGATTACTGGTTAGTGGTTTGATAATCGATCTAATCTTAATTAGTTGGCCAAAAACACCAAACAACACAGTATTAATGTATTATCTATATATTATAGATTTACAAAGCAAGCTAAAGTCCTTGTTCATTTTCGTTATTATAGTGCCTTATTTGTGTCTTTATATGGACACTCAGATATATTTAGTTGGTAGTGGTACCAAGCTCATACTGACTTGACGATTTCTATTGGCCATGTAAATAATGAAGTGGGTGAGTTAGTGCATTCTGCATGATCTATATCATGTACTTAAAAGTTGAAATTATTGAACTGAATGTACGATTTATTTCTTTGTATATATGCATGATAAATATGTTTTTTTCTACAGATAATTTTTGTATATGATTAAATTAAGTAAAAATGTAGGTTAGAAGTAATTATTTTTCTTTTTTGATCGAAAGTAGGTTAGAAGTAATTAAACACTAGGAATGAGTAGAAAAGTTTAGAGAATGTGTCACAAGAAAAGAAAAACAAAACAAAACGTAGCATCCTATAATCCTATAAGTGTAGAAGAAACAGAACAAGACAATGAGCAAAGCGATGGTTCAACGACTCCCACCTAGATTCCAATGAGCAATACAATAGTTTTCAATTTTTAGTTCTTTCAGTGATAGGTCATCAGCAATATATATTTTACAATAGTTAATCGAGTCCAAATATTGACAAAAGAATAAATATGGATACATATATATAATTTTTTTCTTTTTAGAAAAGGCTTTTATAGATGTATAGTTTTGTCTCCTTTTGTTTTCGTTTTTGTTTGTTCATCACAAAATATAGTAACCAGAGATTGTTTACCCTCTGGCTTTTCTTGTACATGTCATTTTCCACTTAATACTTCTGTGTATAACAACTATCAAAGACTCCTTGTTTCATCCCCCTTGGAGATTGATTTTCTTTACTTTTGTAAATTATATGACGATTTTTTAATATTGATAGTTATTTCTGAATTAATTTTCTTAGCATATTGAACACTAACTCTTAAGAACTATTATAAAACATTATCATTTGTTTTCTTTGTTTATAATACATAAAATCCCTATATATGGTATTGAATGTCAAAATCACTAGATG